TCTTCTTCAGAGAAGTTTCTGTTCAAGTCTCTTGCCCACTTCGAAATGGGGTTATTTGTTCTTTTCTTCTTGATTAGTTTGAGTTCTTTGTAGATTCTAGTTGTCAGAAGAAGATAACTAGATAATTTTGTCAGAAGCATAACCTGCAAAAATCATCTCCCATTCTGAAGGTTGTCTGTTTTCTTTACTTACTGTGCTCTTGACTGTGCAGAAGCTTTTTGGTGTGATCAGATCCCAGTAATATATTTTTGGTGTTGCTTCAATTGCTTGGGGTGGGAGGTCCTCCTCATAAAATATTCTCTCGGGCTGATATCTTCAAGCATTTTCCCTGCACTCTTTTCTAGTACTTTTATAATTTCATGTCTTAAGTTTAAATCTTTTATCTAGTGAGAATTTTTGTTAATGGTGAAAACTGGGGTTCCAGTTTCAGTCTTCTACAAGTTGCCAGCCAGTTCACCCGGCCCCTTTTGTTAAAAAAAGAGTCTTTTACCCCACTGAATGTTTTTGATTGGCTTATTGAAGATCAAATGACAGTAAGTGGCTGGGTTCATCTCTTGGTTCTCTCTTCTGTTCCATAAATCTACCTCTCTATTTTTGTGGCAGTACCATGCTGTTTTGATCACTAGCCCTGAAGTCTGGCTAACCTAAACAGAAACAGAAAAGTAAAATCTCTAATATCATCAATCAGAAACGAAAAAGGAGAAATAACAACAAACACCTCAGAAATTCAAAAAAATCCTCAATGATTACTACAAAAAATTCTACTCTCAGAAATATGAAAATCTGAAGGAAATGCACCAATACCTGGAAGCACACGACCTTCCTAGAGTCAATCAGAAAGGAATAGAAATTTTGAATATACCTATATCAATTGTTGAAATAGCATCAACTGTACAAAATCTCCCAAAAAAGAAAGATCTGGAACCAGCTTCACATCAGAATTCTACCAAACCTTTAAAAAGGAATTAGTACTTATATTATACAACCTTTTCCAAAACAGAAAGAGAAGAAATATTTCCCAACACATTCTATGAAGCAAATATCATCCTGATCCCCAAACCAGGAAAGGATCCAAGTAAGAAAGAAAATTATAGACCAATATAATTAATGAATATTGATGCAAAAATATTCAATAAGATCTTAGCAAACAGAATTCAACAACACATCATAAAAATTATGCCCACCATGATCAAGTTGGTTTTATTCCAGAGTTATAAGGTTGGTTCAACATACATAAACCAATAAATTTAATACATCACATAAATAAAATAAAAAACAAAGAGCATATGATTCTCTCAATTGTTGTAGGAAAAGCTTTTGATAATATCCAGCCTCCTTTCATGATCAGAACACTTAAGAAAAGAGACTTAGATGGGTCATTTCTTAAACTGATACAGGCCATCTATAGCAAACCCACCCACAGCCAATACCATATTGAATGGAATAAAATTGAAAACGTTTCCAATCTGATCAGGAAATAGGCAAAGATGCCCACTGTCTCCACTGCTATTCAACACAATAATGGAAATCCTAGCCATAGCAATCGGGCAAGGGAAGGCAATCAAGCATATCCAAATAGGATCAGAAGAGATCAAACTCTCACTCTTTGCAGATCCTATACCTGGAAAATCCCAGGGACTTAACTATAATGTAAGAATGCACCATGCTGCAGTCAGTGACAACACTGGACTTCCTGATGTTGACACCCATTGTTCAATTTCTACGTGACTCATATTTGGCCTCATGTTCCCTTGGTCTTGAAGACAAAATTTTGTCCGTAAGGCTAGATTTGGCATCTTAAGTAGAAAACAATAAAACAAATGCAAACTATCTTATGACAAAAGAGAAATGTATTAAAATTACAAAGAACTGGGACAGTACAGTGGCTCATGCCTATAATCCTAGCACTCGGGAAGCCCAAGGCAGGTGTATTGCTTAAGATCAGGAGTTCAAGACCAACTCAAGCAGGAGTGAGACCCCATCTCTACTGAAAATAGAAAAGCTAGTTGGGTACCATGGTGGGTGCCTTTATTCTCAGCTACTTGGGAAGCTGAGATAAGAGGAACACTTGAGCCCAGGAGTTTGGGGCTGCTGTGAGCTATGTAGTCATGCTTTAGGTATCGCCGGAATGAAACCCTTGGGAATCCAGGAAAAACTGTCTTTGACTCTGCTTCTGTCCATATGTCTACTTCATTCTTCATCATGGGGACCAGTTTTCTCCTCCTGACTGATTGTTGGGATATGGCCACCAGTCTACAGTGCAAAAATGTACCTGTTGTGCAGCCTTTCCTAGAGAATTCATTTCCATTCTCATTTCCTAACCCCCTACCTCACCTCTTTCTTTTCTTATTTTCTCCAAATTCATGGGTAAGGGTCTCTGATTAACTCATCTTGGCTTACCCTCAGTTTAATCAACTGTGGCCAGAAAGATAGAGTCATGTTCTACAAACATGGCACTAGGCTTTTATTTCTTTGGATGAGAGAAAAAGGACCCAGGTGAGAAATTGTATCATGCAGCTGTTCTCAAAGGTGACATGGTATCAGAATAAGATGGGGATGGAAGGGTTTTTTATTATGAATATGTTCTGACACACACAAAAATAGAGATATTAATATAATGAACCCCATACACAATCACCCAGATTCAGACATAAACACTTCATATGTGTCTCTAAAACCTGTGGATATTTGTTCACATAAGCACTATGCCATTATTACACCTAAAAACATCAACAATAATTCCTTGGTATTTTCTAATATCTAATCAACACTTAAATTTCCCTATTGGCAGGATGTCTTTTATATTTGGTTTTGTTAAATCAGGATCCAAACAAAATCTTCATGTTTTATGCCTCATAAATATCTTTTAACCTAGAGACGTTCCCATCCAACTATCTGACTCAGTTTTTATGACATATGAAGAAACCATGTCACTTGTTCTACTGAATGACCCACACACTTGTCCCACACAACTGTCTGCTTCCTCATAAAGTCTTCTAACTTGTTGGTCTGTTTCCATAAACTAGAAATTAGTCATAGGGCTTGATTAATTTTAGTTCAACTTAACTTCAGAAGGAGGCTGTATTTTTCTTATTGCATCAAATTAGTAGGTGTTAAATGTCCGATTATACCACTTCTAGAGATGATAAGTTTGCTCAAGTGGTGACATCTTGAGCCTTCTCTTTTAAAGGACATTATCAAATGTTTGCTTAGGCTCAGCGCCTGTAGCACAGTGGTTATGCTGTCAACCACATGCACCAAGGCTGACAGGTTTGAGCCCTCCCTGGACCAGTTAAACAACAATGACAACTGCAACAAGAAAATAACTGGGTGTTGTGGTGGGTGCCTGTAGTCCCAGCTACTTGGGAGGCTGAGGCAAGAGACTCTCTTAAACAAGAGTGTGAGATTGCTGTGATGCCTCAGCACTCTACTGAGGGAGACACAGTGAGACTTGATCTCAAAAAAAAAAAAGTTTGCTTAAAGTTTTCACCAATTGAAAGTCTACCTGAGCCATTTATTTCATTATGTATTACACACTATGATTTTCATCTTTCATTATTATTTTTAAAAACACTGCTACTTGAAGCAGAGAATTGAATCATGAATTGTCCAAGACCCCTACACAAGGGAAAGTGGGATTGGAAAGCATACCTCTCTGATAAGTTCCTTGATCAGTGTAACTCCATTAAACCAAACAGCAGAGCAATTGGACTTCCATAGAAGATGTGTTACAAGGAGATTCCATGGCAGATACCCCCCAAGTGTGGGTAAATAACTGGTCAACCAAGTTGCAAGATAAAATTAAAACAAGAAGTTAAGAGAAGATGAATTGCAAGAACCTAGTTCTATTTTTATAGATAAGTACTTGAGATATGCAGTGATTGCCCACAGATATTTGAATGAGGTGGAAAGAGAAATTCACATATAGTTTATAGCAGTTGACATAATGGGATGGTAATGAGGCAACTTAAGTAAACACAGTCTCATTTAAAACATTGGGTTATAGGCATCCCCATATATGGCCAGATATATGGCTTATTATATCTGAAATTAAGTGCGAACTAATTATTTAATAATATGTAGGTTAGTATGGTTTTTTAAAACGGCCTTGGAAATTGACCTTCAGGTGAAAGAAGCCACATAATTTCTCTCTCCCAAGATTACTAGCTGATTAAGGTGGGAAAGAGAGAAAAAGAAAGGGATCTTCTCATGGAAGGGAGCTAAATGTTTCCAGCTGGATAGACTTTTTTCCTAGTCTTTCCTCATCAGGACACATGACTGTTATCTCCCAGGACAGAAACCATAAAGGTCTTGAAGATCTCCAAACCCACTCATAATATCCTCTCTTCTACCTGGAGAAGCACCCCTGCACTCACTAGTATACCCAAACATCTCTCTCACCTGCACCAGCCCCTTCTCCAAAAGGCACAAGGCTCAAGAGTGTTTAAAATGACCTTTGTCCTCTAGCAGCTAGGAGGAGCCTTAGCTATAGAATGGGCTGTCTCCTTCTGCATTGGTCTCCATTGCTTTCTATTCCCATTGATGCCTTCCATTTTTTTAATGTCATTTGATCTATGGAAATCCCACTTTTTCAGTTTTCCCATTGCGTCTAAATTTACCCATTCTTTCAGCACCAAACTCTTTCTGTGTACCCATTGTAAACTAAGCATAGCCTAATCAAAAGCAGCTTCAGCAGAAAATGGGTCTGTGTTACAGTAAAAGCAGTGGTGTATTTCCTACAAAGGAGACCAGTAGCCAGAGAAGGAGAAACTGATGATGTCCAGAGATACACAGGGCTGCAACACAGCTCCAGGAAGCTTGGCTTTAGGATTGCAGCCTCAGCCTTGAGTTTCACTGATTCCACTGTGCACTCACATGTTTTCACCCACTTCCGCAAGTCACACTTTGGCCATTTCTTGGCCACACTTTGGCCACACCCCACCCTTCTCATTTCCTGAATCTAGCGAAACTTACTGAGTCTCACAGACCAACCACGTCTGACTGACCTCTGCCTGCAGCTGGAAGAAGAGATATTTCCATAGGATGCGCGGCTGACTCCACTTCCCTCCTCAGAGCCCTTCCTTGGCTTGGAGCTGGATTTCAGGCCAACAGGGCAGCCTGGGATGCTAGAGGGCTCGCCATGGATCTGCCTTATTACCACGGCCCTCTGACCAAGCGAGACTGTGAGATCATACTGCTCAGGGAAGGGGTAGATGGCAGCTTTCTGTTAAGAGACAGCGAGTCTCTACCGGGAGTCCTGTGCCTCTGTGTCTTGTGAGTACCCTCATCTTCCTCACCTGTGAGCCTTCGTGTTGAATGGCGCAATGGGAGCCACACATTAAAGCAATTAACATTCCTCAGCATCTCACTCTGACTTCGTAACCCCAACGTTGGGGCGAGAAACAGTAGAGGCTGTCAGGAAAGGATGGAAGGAATGTGTCTGTCCCTGCTCCTCCATCTGCCCTGCTCGCCTGGCATAAAGGCCACACAAGTGGATTCTGTAGCAGCTGGAAGGGGTAGAGGAGTGTAGGGAGGAGCTGCAGGGAGCATGGAGGTGAGGGGGGCTGGAGGGGAGGTAAGCCTGTCAGAGAGATCTTCTCCTGCAGAGGTTTGACGGTTTAGTAGGAGAAAAACTAGGGGTTATTTTTGAAATTCCAGTTTGAAAGACTATTCTGCTGCATCCACTTGCAAATACTTAAGGCACTAATAATATTGCACATTTCGTCGGATCTGTAGAAGGCTTCACCATCGTTTCCTTTCACCTTTCTTGTAGTCTACTGAGGCAAGCATAAGCCGGCACCGTTTAAAGAGACAGGGATTTCTCAGATGACTTGAGGTAAAACTTATCTGAGTCTGAGCTAAATATGAATGAAATCCTAGGCCGCAGTATCGGAGATACCCCAACCAAGAAATTTGTTTGTTGTCCAGTTCAGAAAGCAATCCTGGACAGAAATCATGGGAAACCGCCTATCTGCGTATTTTCTTCTTTGCAGAGACCGCTGAACCTTTTCTACAGTAATTAAAATCAAATGTCTCTGGTTAAAGAAAAACTTGTTCAGTGACACTTGTTGGTTAAAAGGGCTTTATTGAGGACCATCGTGATAGGCACAGGAACCACTGCAGTGAGATTTGGCTCAATTTCAAATACAGTGGCAGGTGGGGTGGGGTGTGTGTGAAGTTTATAGCCAAGGAGCAGGGCAGGGGTCAGTGGATAGAAAATGACTAAGAAGAAACATTTGGGTAAGGGAGATTCTGGCTAAACTGACCTAATAGGATTCTAGCTGAAGACAGGCCAGTGTGATCAGACCCTGGGGGTGATGGAGACTGAAGGATGGGGGCTTCATGTCAAACTGACTTAGGTTCTTTGCAAAAACTGGATTTTACAAGGAAGTCCATAAATAGACCTAGAGGAAGCTTTAGAACAACGACTAGAGGCAAAAATGATTGCCATTACCAACAGAGTAAGTAGGGATATATTTCTTTCTCTAAATGGTACTGGGCATACAGGCTCTACTTCTTATACCTATATCCACAGCACCATTTAAGGAAAGAAATGTATCTCTCCATATTCTAATAGTAATGACAATCACTTTTGTTTTCATAGCTCCCCAATTCTAAGAAACACAAAAGCTCATTCACAGAGCAAAAATTCTTTGCATGACCAAACTTTAGTCAGCCTTCTGCACCTCCCTGTAGGCCCATCTGTACACTTGTTTATAAAATCTGGTTCAGCAAATCACCTTGCCCAGTCAGATTGTAATCTTTGACCTATTAATATATAAACTAATAATTTTCCTAACACGCAACTATCTTTGATTTCTTGGATTGGATCACACTTAAACGTAGTGTTATTTTCTACTTACTGTACAACTGCCTTGTTATTTGTTTAAGCCTGTTATTTATTTAAAATCTGTGTGTGTGTATCTCGTTTGAAAATAAAAGGAATTAGCAATGGCTAAAAAATGTATAAAAATATTCTCAACATCACTCAATGTTTTACTATATAGGGTGGCAATTAAATTGCACAGGAACTTTTTGGTCACCCTGTATTTTTTAGCCATTGTTGGTAGTTTTTTTTTTTTTTTTTTTTTTTGGAGACAGAGCCTCAAGCTGTCCCCTTGGGTAGAGTGCCGTGGCATCACAGCTCACAGCAACCTCCAACTCCTGGGCTCAAGCGAGTCTCCTGCCTCTGCCTCCCAAGTAGCTGGGACCACAGGTGCCCGCCAAACACCTGGCTATTTTTGGTTTGCTTCCATCATTGTTGTTCGAATCCCAGGCTGGATTTGAACCCGCCACCTCAGGTGTATGTGGCTGGCACCTTAGCCATTTGAGCCACAGGCTGAACTTTTCTTTTTTTTATTTTGAGACAGAGTCTCAAGCAGTCACCCTGGGTAGGGTTTGATGGCATCACAGCTCAACAGCAACCTCAAACTCTTGGTTGGGCTTAAGCGATTCTCTTGCCTTAGCCCCCCAGTAGCTGGGACTGCAGGTGCCCACCACGACGCCCAGCTATTTTTTGGTTGTAGTTGTCATTGTTGCTTGGCAGGCCCAGGCTGGATTCGAACCCCCCAGCTCCAGGGTATGTGGCCAGCGCCCTAGCCACTGAGCTACAGGGGCTGAAGCAGTAGTTCTTCTTTTGCAAATTGCATATTCATGTCTTTTTAATTCACTTTCAGCTTGAGTTTTCTTCTTCTTTTGAATTTTTTTCCAAATTGTATGTATGAAGCTAACATTTTTTTAAAAAAAAACAAGACATACTCACACAAAAGAAAAAAATACACAGACAGACTTTATATCAATTGTAAATAAAATACTACTGATAAATGGATAGGAAGAAAACATGACTAACATATAAGGGCTTTTAGAAATCAAAAGAGAAATGGGTCAAGTACAAGAGCAGGAGACTTTCAGAAAAAATATAAAAATGAAAGATGAAAATCATCTTACCCATAATTAAAGAAATACAGATCAAAAGAATGATGAGATACCATTTTGTCTATTAAATGGGCCAGAAATAAAACTATGAGTATACCCAAGGTGATCAGGGTGCGAGAAGCAGACCCACACACACGCTTCCTTGGCTAGACATGGGCCCAGAACACAAAATGCTTGCATATAACTTTTGGCCCCAAATTTTACTAACAAAAATTTATCTTAGTTATGACTACACCAACACCTGAAAATTGGAAATACAAGTGGTCCCCAGGTGAGAGATGACCCTACTTACAGCGTTCAATACTTATAAACAGGCTCTCAAGGCTCCCCATGAGGATAATTTATAATTAAATAATTAAATTAATAGCTTGGAAGCTAATTTCTCCCACAAATGTAAACCAGCCTGCATGAAGGAGGAAGTTTGTTGGTGCCGCATCCTTGTGCTAACGGGCTTCTTACTCACGTCATCGCTTTTGTCTTATCTTTTTTATTTGATTTTGTGAGTCTGTGTTTACCCTTCTGACCATGCCTCCAAGGTAAAAGTCCACTGCAAGTCTGAGGAAGCCTGCACGGAGAGAAAGGTGATTACAGTGGAAATGAAAGTAGAAATAAGAGTTCGGAGAAAGGCCAGAGGCCATCACTCATCAGGCTGCAGGGTCTTGACCATAGGAACAATTACAAAGGATACAGTGAGATTATAGTGGAGCGTGTGAAAGATAATGCTTCAGTGAAAGCATCAATGAATGCAGCACGTGTGTTAATCAAGGAAATGGAAAGGTTACGGATTTGATCAAACTAAACATAACAGTTATCATTAGCCTAGCATTAAAGCAACATTGGGTGAGTATTAATCTTTAAGATTCATTTTTGAAATTTTTCTTATCTCTTCTCTGAACTTTTTGCATGACTATGTTTTTACATTCTGTTTGTTTGAATTCCAAGAGCACAGTAGTTTCTGTAACTCACTATCATAGCACAAGAATAACTTATTCTTATTACAGTGTTACACTGTATCATTATTACCACTTACGAGCTGTTATAGAGATCTGAGTTACATACAAACATGACACAATGACATTCTCAGGAACACATCTTGTTCTTAACCCCAGCACTGCCTTTCTCCTCAAGAAGGCATTTGTACCATTACTGGAATGCTATCCAGGCATTAACAAGATTGGGTAAAACCAACATCATAGGAAAAAATCTCCAAGATCTATTGTTGAAAAGAGCAAAGTGGAAAGTATAAGACTATTAGTGTAAAAAAATTATATCTATATCCTTGTATAGTCACATACATTTTTCTAGACGATACATAAGAAACTTACAGTGGTTTACAACTGCAGAATTTAGGACCGAGTTGGGAGAAGGATTGTTGCATTCATTCTTTTTATTTAGTTGCTTCTTTGCACTGTTCACAAGTTTTACATGTGCATGCATTATTTTTATAATTAAAAAAATACTTATAAAAATGTAGTGAATTCCTACTATCCTACCCAAACTCTGTGCTCACGCCTAGGGAGAGTCTAAAGAGATTAATTAATTATTATTATTTTTATTGAGACAGAGTCTCACTTTGTGGCCCTCGGTAGAGTGGCGTGGCATCATAGGTCACAGCAACCTCCAACTCTTGGGCTCAAGCAATTCTTTCGCCTCAGCCTCCCCAGTAGCTGGGACTACCAGCACCTGTCACAGTGCCAGCATTGTTTTGAAGAGACGGGGGTCTCACTCTGGCTCAGGTTGGTCTTGAACTCCTGAGCTCAGGACAATCCACCTGCCTTGACTTTCCAGAATGCTAGGATTATAGGTGTGAGCAACCATGCCTGGCCTTAAGGAGACTCTAATAGGAAACTTGACATTTTTTTTATGGAGGTCTAAAACATATTAAATAAATAAAACAAGGGTAAAATATAAATTCCAGAACAGACATATGATTCAAGGGCAGAAGAGTTGAGCAGGAAAGCTTTCTTAGAAGAGGCAGTATTTGACCTAAAATATAGATAATATTTGGTTACCTGGAAATAGGGTGGAGGCAGGCACAGAGGTCCAGATATTTGAAAGCACACATGGTTCATACACGGTTCTTAAATAGGTAGTTTTGGAACCAGCTTTTGGAGAAGTAAGTTGGGATAAGATCACGGGGTTTTAAGAGAATGATTCTGTAGTGGAGAAACCTGGATGGTTTCTGACAAGGGACGAGACAGGATGAGGGCTGAGTTTTAGGAACTTCAGTCTGGTACAGAGAATGTGTCACAGTTGAGAGATGATGGCATGGGGACTGCTGTGCCTCTGGTGGGAGACGGTGACACAGAAGGCGGGGCAAGCAGTGGGAAAGGAAGAGG